AGCAGATATGAAAATATCAACATGTCAAGATTGGCCCTCAGAAACTTTCTTTGCTAAATCCACTATGAAAAGCTACAAACTTGTACCCATTTTTAGCATCAAACATTTCATTTACCAGATCAAGCTGCATCGCAGCTCATAATCACAGGTCAAATGTTCTCAATGGCAGGCACACTGGCTCATAATACTCCTTAAAATAGGCTTTTTAAAAAGTGTCTCCATAGCTAGACTTACTAAAATAGGCGCGGCAAGACCATGTTTTTGAAGGGACCAAATCCCAAGGCAAAAGTCTTAAGGCAGGGAACTAGGGCTGTTTTTGTTATAAGTTTGCAGTTGCCCACAAAGACTTCATCTGGTCCTGCCCAAAAATCTAACAAGAATAAAATGCCTCTGATATCAACCAGATGCGACAATCGGATATTTTAGAAGACAGGTTCTGTTTATGGTTCCCAAATTATTAACCTCAAGCTCCCAAGAACCCCTTCCCTACCAGCAGAGATCCCTGGTAGATGCCTCAGGAGCCCAGCGGTGGTCTGGGCTGAGGAACAGGTAGGAGGAAGGGCGTTCCCCACCTGCGTTCTCACCAGATCTTTCCTGAGTTTATCCATTTTACATACTATTTTATTAGATAACCTCTAGCGATTTCGTTTGAAGGAAGAATTACGCATGTTAAAAAATGTTGAAAACCTCTGTCCTAAATAAATCCCCTTGATCTTAAAATCAGCCAGCAAGGAAATCACCGAGCTGGGTAATCCAGGAGACCCATTAGCCAGTCAGTCCTTCCACGCCCAACCAGTTTCCTCTGATGTCAATCCAGGGGAACTGGCAAGGCAATATGCTTCTAGAAAGTCTAGAAAAATCTAGCTTCTTTATATTATGAAACACATGACATAAAGCCTACTAACCAAACAACCCTTTATTTTGGCAAATGTGTAGACCACAAAATATGATTGTGAGCTGCCACTACTCACAGGGGAGATTTTATGGTGTTACTGAGCAAATGCCAGGACTCTGTGGAAGAAATTTATTTTCATCTGGGATTCTTGGCCAGAAGTGTCTTCCCACCAAGAAGTGTGTGAAGTGCCTGCCACTGCCACGGCTCCTGACCACTGGACTCTCCTTTCAAAGGTAAAGCAGCACAGAGGGGAAGCACGTCAATGCCCTCCAGCCAAAGACCACCAGGAGCACACCTGTAGTAGACAACCCGGGTCCATTAACACATCGCAGAGGGGGAGAATGTACAGCAGAGAGGATCATGAGAGAAAAATAACCTATTCTTAAGAGAATTTGAGCTTTCGTTGGGTAATTTTGAGGAGGGTCTAAAGAAGTGGGATATTGTTCTAGATTGGATGCTGTCAGGAAGTGGGGATAATTCTATGATTGAATATCTTGATAATTCTTACCTATAAGTAGGGCAGAATAGAACAAGAAAAAAGCCGTAATTGGTAAAGAAGTGATAATCTTGACAAAGAACAGGAAAGGAAGGGTCGATGCTAGACAGAAACACATATTCTCGGCCACACTAGGTAAGAATCACAGTCAATTCCTTTGTACAGAAGACCTTTGATTTCAGAAACAGACTGAATAGTGTCTGTCTAGATCACATTCCAGACCACAGCTCTGCCTATGACACTTCAGGAATCTTTCTGTCCTCTTCAAGAAAGCTTGGGTTGAAGTGTCTTTCCTGTGATCATTTCGTACAGTTACCTGGCATAGGTAGACTCTACCTGACAGTTTCAGTCACATTTCTGATGTCCAGAATGGGTAAAACCAGCTAAGTGTCACTACTTGTTTCTCAAGCTATCTGTTTAAAAAAACAGTTTCTCTTTTCCCCAGTTTCAAACCGATATTTTCATATATATGAAATAAATACAATTCAATCCAACAAAAAATACAATAAAATCTAATTACTAGAATAATAAAATGAAAAAAACAAGACAAAAAATACAAGCCCCATTTATTATTATTAGGCTCAAAACACATACAATAACTGTCAAATTGCTATAAAAGTTCCTAAACGCTTAGTCTCACTGTATGTATCTTGTCACAAATCTGAGTTCGTGTAAAACACTTTGCGTGGCACTGGAGTTTTTAAGTTAAATTAAAAGCATTCTGTTTAACATAAATTAATTTTGTCTACTGTACTGCCCATTTCAAATTCACACCAAGAGGTAAAAAACGTCACTCACAGATAGGGTCTTGCTATACAACCTCTGACTTAGTGAACAGTAAATACTGAGGCTAGCTCCTCCCACGTGCAACTGGCTTCAAAGGACGCATACAGAAAACCAGATCACTGTAACCCCTTCTACACCAACCCAAAATTAACTAATCAAAAGGATTAAATTTCCCATGCAGGTAAAGCTTCAATGGTCTTCTCTTCCGTATCAGGAGACTTTACTACACACTTGCTGGGCAGAGATTTTCCCATGGGTGTTTTTAGGCCAGAAGTGGCTGCATTTTCTATAAGGACAACTTGGATTTGATTATAATCCCAGAGCCTCCCAGGATAGTGGTTTCATATTCCATCAGGTTAATCCTCAGGCATCTATGTTATCTCAGTATCCCAGCTTCCCTCCCTAAGGTCAAGAAGGTCAAGCTTAAATCCCTACGTAGTTAAAGGGAAAAAAAAGGGTTTAGGCATCAGCTAAATTTATTCACATTCTCATCAATTAAATTTCCTACCTCATCTCTGCCAAGGGTTCACCTGGTCCATGCAATTCTGCAATTTTAAGAATTCAGCCCCAACTCGTTGAAGCAACCAACTGTGTTATCCCTGAGTTTGCTGATCTCCTCTCCATAACCCTGCTTCTGTTTCCGCCACCATCTGCTTTCTTCCTCCTGGCACATACTGCTATGAGCTGGAAACTCTAGCAAAGGCTTCCTCTTGTGCAAGTCCACACAGTCAGCCCTGTTTGATAAGGCCATGCTTTTGCTACATCAAACTCAAGGTCTGGGCCACTTCTCTCTGCTTTGAACTCTGTCCCA